GGCTGCTTTGGTGGCTGTCGCTCCGGGGGGTGGCGGGGCCTGTGACCCACTTGGGGGAAGCCGAGGGTTGCTTTGTCGGTGCCAAATCTGCCATTTCTTTGTAAATGGCCAGGGTGTATCATGGCAGCTCCTGTGTTGAGCGTCTGCTCCCTGGTGGTCAGTGTGTGTCATGGTGACCGGTTGGATGGTTGGAGGGACACTTAGCATATTAGCCTTTTATATATATAGATGTTTAGGACTGCCATTCACCTGGAATTGATTTTTTTTATACAGTGTGAGGTAGATCTCAAAAGACATTTCCCCCAATAATTGGATCTCCAGTTGACACAGCACCATTTATTAAAAAGAGAGTTTTTTCTGCCCTGCTCTGCAGCGCCACATTTGTGGTAAATGGAGTGTGCACGTGTCGTGGTTCTGTTTTGAGCCTGTTCTCTTGTATTGGCCTCTTTCTTGGCGGTTGTGCCAGGATACAGTGTTATTAGCTGTAACTCGGGTATTGAGTTGTTCAAGCTTGCAGATCCTTACTGGTTTTTTGTACGTGCTGTGTCAGTTACGGGGAGGGGTGTGTTACAACATCCCCCCCCCCCCCCCCCGAAGTCCTCCCGAGGACTCATCCGTTTCTCCTCATTACTGTCAGTTTTATGCATGTTAAAATGGCTGTGTGTTAGGGCTATACAAGCTGAATATTTAATGTTGACAACTCTTCTTAGTGGATTAAACTTCTTGTTACTTTATGTATCCACTCCAGTCTGCTATGCTTGTTTGTTACACAGTTGACCCTTTTGTAGTAGATATGCTGGTGCCCTGTCTAGGTTCCCGTTACCACGGCGTGCACACGCCCCACCTCCTCCTGCTGTGAGGGTCAGCTGCCTGGGCCCAGCAGGTAGGGTCTGTCCCCCCCCTCCGCCGTGACTGCCTGACGAAGGGCCAGAGAGCAGGGTGGCTCCCGCCCTGATCTTCAGGGGGCTCGCTTTGCTCGGTGGAGAGGCTTTTCGTGATAAGACAGTTTTAAAGGCTAGCAGCCGGGAGGTGCGAACGCTCTACCCTTTATCGCTCTATCAGTTTCTCCAGCACCGAGTCATCTTAAAATTACGTACTTTCTTATACGTGGACAGAGTAGAGACTTACATTTGAATGACGTAAAGGTTTTAATATTGACACAGCGGTGCTAACCAACATCGATGGCCGCAGCTAATCTCTTGTATGAAAGCCTGTTTGTTGCTGCCGCGTTGCGTCATGTTGTTGTGCTTCTCTGCGAGCAGAGAGCTATTTTTGTGGCTCTGCCTCACGGTGACAAGACGGCCAGCGTGGAGGGCTGGCTGGTGTGGGGATGGCCTGTTGGCTTTCTGTCCATGAAGGTTCTGGCATGTGTTTGGAAAGTAGAAGAAACGAGGTGAATATTCTTTTTTTAAAAATATATTTTATTGATTTTTTACAGAGAGGATGGGAGAGAGAGAGTTAGAAACATCGATGAGAGAGAAACATCGATCAGCTGCCTCCTGCACACCCCCTACTGGGGATGTGCCCGCAACCCAGGTACATGCTCCTGACCGGAATCGAACCTGGGACCTTTCAGTCTGCAGGCCGACGCTCCATCCACTGAGCCAAACCGGTTTCGGCGAGGTGAATATTCTTAATTAGTGATGATCCTTCAGTCTGACTCGATTTATTCTTTCTCCAGTTCTGAAGAGTTTTTGTCGTTTTGACACCTCTGATTCATTTTGAAGTAGACCTTTAAAAAAATGTCACTTCCGTTGCACCATTTTAGAACCATTTAGAGTTTAGAGGGCGGGCCAACACAGCCTACAGCACGGCCAGACTGACCTGTCGAAGGTGATGGGTGTGAGTTTTGAGTGGCACCGGGAGGACAGATCCTAGGAAATAATCACAGGAGGCCGAGAGGGTGTGCACCGGGATTTCGCGACTGATGTACCAGGAGGGAGGGGAGCGGGCTCGCACCGTGCGCGCAGTGTCAGCATGGGGTGGGGGGAAGCCTTCCTCAGCCCCCAGGTCTGGGCCCGTCTGACATCAAGGAGACCTGCGACAGGTAAATGAGAGAAAATAACCAAATTTAGTACATGCCTTTGTATGGGAGCCCTGCATCCTGAGAGTCAGAGGCCCCTGTGCAGGGGGGTTCAGATACCGGCAGGGAGAACGGGTACACCAGACCTCCTGAGCGGGGCGTCAGGCCATGTGCCAGGCCACTGTAGAGAGAGCACACGGTCAGTGATTATTAGTTTTCCTGCCGTAGAGATAGGTAGAAGGTCATTTCTGATGTTAAGTCTTACCCAGGGCCAGGTTCCTAATTTAACTTCTTCTAGATAAGGAGGGAGCAGACGTTTCTTTTGAGTTCTCAGGGTTTGGGGTGCCTTTAGCCCGAAGCAGTCCATGCACCACAGAGGCACCCATGAGGGTGGCTCGTTCTGAACCTGTACGAAGTGGTAATGTCCGTGGCCTCTTGTAAAATGGCAGTTGTCTCATGGCACTAGGTGTAGGGTGACCCTCCATGGCACCTGCATGGATAGTTGTGGCAGGTGACAGGACTGCGTCTTCTAGGGCTGTGTGGCTTTGATAGCATACGAAAGAGTTTGGATTTCTTTTATTTTTAATAGGCATTAGGGTTCTTTAAATCAACGGATGTTTTCTTGGTGTTAGGACTCTTCCCAACTGCCTTAATCCTTTTAAGAAGAAAAGATGGGGCAAATGTAGAGGCAGGATCTATAAAATTCTAAGACTTGGCCAGTTTTGTCACACCCTCTGTTTCTGCTGCTCTCGGTCCCCTCTCAGGCTGGTCGTCCCCAGGCCCAGCTCCTGGCTACGTGACTTGTTTCCTCTGGCTCTTCCCTGCCGTTACAGGGGGGAGCTGTGGTTTTGAGCACGCCTGTAGAGATTAGTGGGTAAAGTAATTTCTGGATAGGTGTAAGCAAACTGATTTGTGTGTGTGTGTCTTGGACTGAGGAAGAATACATGGGATGAATAGTAAAGTTAAAAAACAACAACACTTTCTCTTTTTCCGAATTGGGGGCATTAGGCATTGAGAATCCTCTTAAAATTTGCCCTCTCTCTCTTTCTTTAACTGAGATAAAATTGAAGATTCACTCTTCAGGATGGCTGCTGCAGAAATGTAAGTGCTGTGTCATTGTGCCCACAGAATCAGTGCAGCAGACTCTCTGCATCACGTGGCCAACAGTGGGAGGTATCTGGTGCAGATTACTCTTCTTGGAGAAATAGATTTTAATCCACTCAGAAATGTAACAGGCAGGCGCCTCTTTAGAGACCTGCAGTGCATTCTGAAAGGACTGAAGGCAAGCTGCCAGCAGAGCTCCCGTGAGTAGGTAAGCGAGGCTCCTGTCTCGGGCGGCGAGGAGGTCTGTTCGGCGGGGCGTGTGCCTGTGTACGCAGTGTTTTTATATGTAGAGGACAGGGCTCCCGAAAACCGCAGTTGGAAAGGAGCTGTTTGTGTGGGGGACTACGTGGGAATAAAATGTGTCAGCGGGGTGGTGGCCTCAGCTCTTCTGGGAGTGAAGGGCTCTCTCCTGTTGCTAAAGAGGACGGGACAGACGGGAAGCCTGCGAGCCTGGAACTCCCATTCGTTTGTAATAATACAGCTGTTGTCCTTGACGTGTATAGGGAGGCACCTGGGGTGGCAAGTTAGTATGTTCTCCTGGAGTTTGGAGTTGTTTGCTTAGGACAGTCAAGATGTTGTGAACTGTCTGTCGCCATTGCCAGTCTGGTTTGGGGATGGGCAGGAGAAATTCAGATATCCTGGGGGATGTGTGCCTCCGAGCTGCAGGCGATGGTAGCTGAGTCCCCTAGATGTCTTTCCGAAAGATGTGGTTTTACTTAGACTAAAATAGAGTTGTGATTGAAAGTATAAACCAAGGTTTTCCAGTTAATTAAATTAAAAACAGAACACAGCTGCCAGACAAACGGGTCAGCTTGCTATGCCCTAAGTCTCTGAAGGATTCATTACCACAGATCTGAGGAGTGAAGGCCCCACTTAGTACCTGAAAGCTTGCTAGGCAAATGAAAAAAGCCTCGGGTCGCATGTGGCGTCTTTATGATGCAGGCTGCCCTCCCACGCCAGGGGACCGGTGGGCTGACCCGCACATGGGGACTGGCTGCTTTTCCCAGGCCTGAGGGGAGCACTGCCCTTCAGCCGCAGCACTCTCACCAATGTCCTGGGGAGCAGCTTGGTTGGTGGCTTCATGCAAAACAAAAGCATAGAAGAAAATATTAGCCCACATATCTCTCTAGTTCTGTTTCCTTGTCCATAACTCAACCTTCTACCCCCCCCCCCCCAAAAAAAAAACACCCACCAGGACAGATAATCACAGAACATTGAAATGAGAATTATGAGCAGTCTCCTACCTTTAAGAATTATTATTAAACATTTATTTATTAAACTAGAGGCCCAGTGCACAAAATTTGTGCACTGGACGGGGGAGCAGGGCGGGGGGCGGCCCTCAGCCTGGCCTGCACCCTCTCACAGTCCTGGAGCCCTTGGGGATTGTCCGACTGCCGAGGAGGTGGGAGAGGCTCCAGCCACCGCTGCTGCACTTGTCAGCCATGAGCCCGGCTTCTGGCTGAGAGGCGCTCCCCCTGTGGGAGTGCACTGACCACCAGGGGGCAGCTCCTGCATTGAGTGCCTGCCCCCTGGTGGTCAGTGCGTGTCATAGCGACTGGTTGTTCCACCGTTTGGTCAATTTGCATATTAGTCTTTTATTATATAGGATTGGTTATTTGAAACTCAGAATACAAAATTTCCCTTAGATAACAATGCTATAAAAAATGCTATAAATGAAAATTTTATTTCTAAACTCATCCTGGTTATTGAGAAGAATGTTTCTTTTTTCCTTCCAAAATTGTTAGGAGGCGGTATTTTGAAAGACATCAAACTTGTCCTTGGCCGTGGTATTACCTCCCTTTCCCTCCCTCCTAGGGCCCTCTTGCCCTCTCCTCCCAACTTTGCTATCTTTTCCAGATCGGCTTTGTTCCTTAAATATTCCATGTTGCTAAATTAGTTTTCTCTTTTCATACTAAACCCAGGAACTCAGACACTTTCTGTGGAATTTATCTCTGGAACCAGGAGGGAAGCTACTAGATAAGAAATGTTGTATTTTTATTTAACCCATCTCCCTTTTATTTATTTGTTTTATTTTTTTAAATATATTTTTATTGATTTCAAAGAGGGAGGGAGAGAAACATCAGTGATGAAAGACTCTTTGATTGGCTGCCTCCTGAACCCCCCCCCCCCACTGGGACTCAAGCCCGCCACCAGGGCGTGTGCCTTGACCGGGAATTGAACCCTGACCTCCTGGTTCATAGGTTGATGCTCAACCACTGAGCCACACCTGCCAGGCTATCCCTTCTCCTTTTTAAATTATGAAATAGGAGTCTATACTTTTTAAAAGAGGATGCTGGTTATCAAACGAATCTTGGTAGAAGTTTGGCTAATGTAACAGTAAAATAAAAATATAGTGTTATGAACAGTGATTGCTTATGTTGATGGAAATAAGGCTCTGTTCTTCTTTTTCACGAGTTTTCTTCTTCCACATTAACACCTGGGGTGGTAGGTGGGGGAGGACAGAGGCAACAACAGGCCATTTGCAAACTTGATGGCTAATTTTTCATCAGAAAGAATGAGCACAGATCCCAAGTGAATGACTATAGATAAGATGATTGACCTAAAATTTTCTAGAGGACTTCTAGGAGTTTAAAAAATGGTCCACACTTCCATGTATTTAAATCAGATAGGAGCACTATTTAATCTCTGTTTAAGCACTATTTAAGCACTATTTAATCACTTCAGACGTGTCGTCAGAACGAAACACTGTGTTATGTCATATCTTTTTGTCCATAAACTACATGACTAAACATTTTAATGCATAAATGAATATTAAGTGATCTCAAATGAGTCTGTATGAGAAATTTATTCATGAATTTATTAAAATCAATTTCTGTAGGCCTAGAAAATGTTTTTAGTTCAGTATTAACTTCTGAGTTTGTGATCTAAAGTGGACCATACCACAGAGCAGGTGCTGTGCCCTCATCGTAGATTCTTACGTGCTCTGTGTGAGTGCAGAGCTATGAATAGGAAGAGGGGAGTCGAGAGACTGAAATTCTCCCGTGCTTCACTGTCATGTCATGTCGTTTTCTGTTGCTTGTTTTCAAAACTCTCCTGAACAGCAGAGTTCACTTCAGACGTGTCATCAGAACGAAAGCGCCGATGCCTGAAGTGCTGTGTTGACAGCGGTTCTCTCGGTGCCGGTGCCGGCGGAAGATAGGGGCTTGCTCTCTGGCCGAGCAGTGTCAGGTCTGCTTTGATGTCAGCCAGCACTGGGCGGAGTTTCTTAACCTCTAGTGAGATTTGCTCACTCAGGGCCTGTGCACTGATGAGTTAGTTTTTAGTCCTCCTTTTGCTGAAAAGCTTTTTAATAAACCTAAACCCAGTTGTAATTGAGAGTACCTGACAGAAAATACTAACTTAATGATGCAAATTCACATTTACATTGAGGATCTATATGAAGTTTGTTTTATATTTCTAACTTAAGTGATGAAATGGAATTATAAGTAGCTTATATAGGCTAATCAAGCTCAGGAATCGTGTGACAGACCTTTCTCATTTTACAGATGAGGGAACTCAGCCCCGAAGGTGACTCACTCAAAGCCACAGTGAGAGTCAGAGTAAACGAGCGCTTCAGCGAAGCGGAGAGACTTCTGTACCCAGCTTTCTCTTCTTGCCTCCGATGAACAAATCCATTTAAAGTTAACTTTCTTTAGCTATATGAGTAAAAGACGAATAGTACAAATAGCGAGAGATATTTTTAAAAAGTAGATACTTATTCATTCACAAGGGTTTATTTTTGGATCTGACTATCCGGATTTGAGACTAACACTGTGTTATGTCATATCTTTTTGTCCATAAACTACATGACTAAACATTTTAATGCATAAATGAATATTAAGTGATCTCAAATGAGTCTGTATGAGAAATTTATTCATGAATTTATTAAAATCAATTCTGGAATACTTGCAGAACCATTTTAACAAATCTGTATGCACTTAAGGGAATTTATTGTACATGTTTTAGAAAGAATAACCACATTTGGGTGATCTCTTTAATGCACTGAAAACCGGGGCTTTAAGGAACCAGCACTTTCACTTCCAACACAGCACTAGCACTGCTGTGACAGGGCCGGTTTCCATAGGAGAGATCGTGTGTGTGTGTCTGTGTTTAAGTCACATTTCTCTATATTTGGTGACAGGAAAGAATGGCTGCACTGTTGAGTTGTGGATGCTGGTTTGTTGGCTAAATGCACACAGAGCCAAGTGACCTTCCCATTTTCCGACTAATTTTCTATCAATTTCACCTTGTTAGGCTGAATTTAAACTCTTGTTCATATTCCATGACTCGCATGCCAGCTCAGGAAGTGGTTTGGGAAGTGCTGGTGGTGGGGAATGGTGAGGGGAAAGGTGACAGTGGATAAAAGGCTGCTCTTGGAGAATCTGCACTCAGATAAATGAGGTTTAAAATGTGTCGCTGGATTTTCTGTATTTTCCCATGTCCTAAATTAGAAAAAGTTTGAGTAGATTGCGTGAAATAAGTGTCATAATTACATATTTCTGGCACAGATAAATCTGTTTGGCTCTTATTGTATATTGTTAAGGATAGTATAGGTGTCCTTTCAAATTCTCTTTGATTATGAAACTAATTATAGACATTCTTTATTGTTTTGGGTTCATAACAGTTTTCGTAGCCTAATTGATAATAATAATAGTTATCACAGGTAGGAAAGAAAAAAGCAATTACTTCTGTTGTTGTTAATCCTCACCTGAGGATATTTTTTCCATTGATTTTTAGAGAAAGTGGGAGGGAGAGAGGGAGGGTATGGGGAGGGGAGAGAGAGAGAGAGAGTGATAGACAGAAAGAGAGAGAGAGAGGAACATTGATGTTTAGAGAGACACATCGACTGGCTGCCTCCTGCTTGTGCCCCAACCAGGCCGGGGATGAACCTGCAACCCAGGTACATGCCCTTGGCCGGGAATCGACCCCGGGACCTTTTGTGTGTGGGCTGACGCTCTAACACTGAGCAACACCAGCCAAGGCAAAAAAGCAGTTCCTTTCTGTGGAACCTTTAACGTCAGACTTTGTCAGGCTTTTAAGAAGGTCTTCAGTGAGTCATTTTTTAGCATATTCCCTGTCAAGATCTGGAGTGACAATAATACCTGATATTGCTAAATAAAACTATTTTGTTAATTTTTTCCATCATTACTTTTGATTTATTTATATATTTATTTTTGGCTTTAGTTAACAGTTGGCCAGTGTGGTTTTTATTTTATCCTCACCTGAGGAATCTATATGTATATATATGGTATCCCTCCAAATGTATACATATATTAATATATTTATTGATTTTTAGGAGAGAGGATAGGAGAGAGAGAGAGAGAGAGAGAGAGAGAGAGAGATGAGAGAGAGAGAGGTGAGAGATAAACATTGATTGGTTGCCTCCTGTATGGGTGCTGATGGGATCGAACCTGCAATCTAGGTAGGTATGTACCATGGCTGGGAATGAACCTGAACCCGCAACCTTTTAGTGTATGGGATGATGCTCCAACCAACTGAGCCACCTGGCCAGGACCAACTATGCTTTTTTATAGGCTTTTTTATAAGATTTGATACAGGATATTTAAAAAGCTTATTCTTGAAAGAAGGAGAAGAGATTAGCCAAAGAACACACATACATGCATAGCCCATGCGCACAGATAACAGTGTGGTGATGGCCAGAGGGAGGAGGGTGGGGGCTGGGCGGAAGTGGATAAAGGATCAGAAAACGGGGGATATCTGTAATAGTGTCAACAATTAAAAATATATATATGTGTTTATTTCTAAAAACAACAACGTAACTTAATCTATTTATTAAAAGCATTGTAAGGTTTACATAGGACCTGCTCAAGCTCTTTTGTGATGGGAAATACTGTTCTAAAATCAGATAAAACTGCCCTGCCTCTCTCTCCCTCTCCCTTTCTCTCTGGAATAAATAAAAAATATATTTAAAGAAACATCAGTGAGAAGAGAGAATCATTGACCGGCACCTCCTGCATACCTCCATCGGGTTTTGAGCCCATAACCTGACTGGGAATCAAACAGTGACCTCCTAGTTCATGGTTTGACACTCAACCACAGAACCATTCCAGCAGGGCTATCATTACAATTTTTGAAAAGATTTTACTTAGAAGCCTATGCAAATTCAATATTCCCAAATCTTGGAATTTTATTTTAACTTGCAATTTTATATAATAAAAGCTTAATATGCAAATTGACCTAGCGGTGGAACGACCGTCGCTGTGATGTGCACTGACCCCCAGGGGGCAGACGCTCAACACAGGAGCTGCCCCAGCCTGCAGGCCTGCCTGGTGGTGGTGGCGAGTGGGCAGCGCCAGGCCAGCCAAGGCTGGTGCCAGCGGGGGCCCTGCCAGTTGCCCCACAGATTGGCCCTGATCGCTGGCTAGGCCTAGGGATCCTACCTGTGCATGAATTTCGTGCACCGGGCCTCTAGTTCTATAATATAAATAATATATAGTGAGTGTTCTCACTAGGATGAGGCCTTATGTATAGATATGTTTGTTGTTTTTTCTGGACACTTGCCTAGAAGTAAGTCTTGCTTTTGGGCTTATTCCCTCAGTGCTTTGTTTTGTGTCTAGAACTGAGCTTACAATCTGTGCTACCACTCTTACACTTTCTGCAACATTGAAACACACAGCAAAGCCTTTTAGATGGTGGACTTGGGAACTGGAGATGGGCTGGCTTCTGATGTTATAATGTTCTAAATGTATTTGCTTTGTGCGTATTTTATGACTGTGGTGGTGTCACAGCTTGGTCTCACGGAGAGCTAAGAAGAAATAATGATTGAAAAAGGATGCCTTTCATACTTGTCTCACAGGATAGAAAAAGTGGGAGGACAGTGTTTGGGGACAACGATAAAGAGAGTGACTACGCTTCCTGCTGCGTGCATTTCCTTTCCGGAGTAAATTCGTTGGAGAGGGGTAGACAGTGGAGGAGAGTTTGAAGGAGAGCCTGACCATGAGTGTCTTGAATCATAGTAAATTTTTTCTTTTTAAAAATTTAGGTTGGGGGAAGACTGTGTTCATTGAGATTGTTTATCAGCAGAAATAGATTGACTGCATCAGGCAAAAGGAAGATCGGAAGGTTGCTCACTTAGACTTGAGAAAGAAGACCCTCCCGTGGGCCTTTGAGGATGTAGTCATAAAACGGTCCTTTCTAACCATTGTCTTCTGATTGGCCGAACTCAGCCCTGTGCCTCCGGGGCATTGGTGTGAATGAGGGGTGGCGAGAAGAACACAGTCTGGGCAGACGGAAGCAGGAGCCATTGCGCTATTTGTCGTACATTTACCTGGTCAAGCTCAGACGTCTCTCTGTCCTTAGGTACTGGGAGTTCAGTTTATTATAGGCCTGTTGGCTCTTTTGACTGCATTACTGTGTATTTCCTTGGCTATTCAGTCACAGTTTTACCTATAATAGATTACACTTCTTAATTTCAGGTTATGTTTGAAAATTGAGAACCTGATATTTTGTAAAGATGATGATGTACATGACCACAGAGAACTACTCTTAGCTAATTAAGGGGGCACGTCTGTATTCTTCATGCCAGCCCAACCCAAGTGTAGCTTGGTGTGGACATAGCTATCCACAAGTGATTCATGAAGAAGCAGCACTTACCCCAGGATGAGGCCCATACTCACAGTGTTTGGTCAAGAAAGGTGACTTCATTTGCCTGATATAATGTAACCTTTTAAAAATATATATATACCAGGTATATATTTTTATTGATTTCAGAGAGGAAGGGAAAGGGAGAGAGAGAGAGAGAAATATCAATGATGAGAGAGAATCTTCAACTGGCTGCCTTCTGCATGCCCGCTACTGGGGATCGAGCTCACAACCCAGGCATATGCCCTTGACTGGAATCGAACCTGGACCCTTCAGTTGGCAGGCAGATGATGCTCTATCCACTGAGCCAAACTGGCTAGGGCAGTAAACCTTTTTAAAATGGGAATCTAATAATCTCATCTGACCTCTCTGTTTATTCTTTTTAAAGAATTATTCTGGGATCTGATTTGGAAATTAAGAGATGTGGAATATTTGAAAGGGTTATAAGACTTGAAATCAGAAGACCTGATTTGATTCTCAATGGGTGTAACCTCGGGTAAATTGACTTTTTAAAATACACTTCATGTTTCTTAGTAATGAAAAGGTCAGAATGGCACTTGCTCTGCTCGTTTCCCAGAGAGTGAGAAGAAAGTGTTACCTTGGCTAAGGCTGCTCCTGAGCTTTAATTCTCTAATTTGTAGAATGAGGTGTCCCTTTTGGATCCAGAGGTTTGGATATTATTGTTTGTTGTTTAAAAAACCGACAAGAATGTTTCCCCTTTGCAGAGCTCATCATATGAACATTTTCCCTCCTAACCAGGCAGTTGCAGTGGTGCAGAATGGCTGACCTCAGTCTTGCAGATGCATTAACAGAACCACCCCCAGAAATCGAGGGAGAGATTAAACGGGACTTTATCGCCACTCTGGAGGCAGAGGCCTATGATGATGTCGTGGGAGAAACTGTTGGAAAAACAGACTACATTCCTCTCCTGGATGTTGATGAGAAAACTGGGAATTCCGAGTCAAAGAAGAAGCCATGCCCAGATACTAGCCAGGTTGAAGGTAAGTAATTAAGCCAAACTGGGTATATAGGTGCAGAACGTAGATTAGGAATTACACTTTGGATTACAATCTTGGAAACCTTGAGGAAACGGAACTGAGTTGTTAAGTATAGGCCAGTAACTTTCCCTTAATCTAAACTTCTTTATTTGAAACCAAGGAGCTAGGTCCATACGCTTTAATAGACTGTGTGTTCATTATACTGTAGATTACTTTTTTAAAACTATATATGTTTTTATTGATTTCAGAGAGGAAGGGAGACGGAAAGAGAAATAGAAACATCAACAATGAAAGAGAATTATTGATTGGCTGCCTCCTGCAGGCCCCCTACTGGGGATGGAGCCCACAATCCAGGCATGTGTCCTTGACCGGAATCGAACCCGGGGCCCTTCAGTCTGCAGGCCAACACTCTATCCATTGAGCCAAACTGGCCAGGGCTCTGTGTAATGTTTTAATCTAAGATAGTGGTTCTCAAAGTATGGTCCTGTGACCAGCAGGTCAGTATTACTTAGGAGCTTGTTCAGGTTGCAATTCTTAGGCCCACGGGGAATGTGAGACTCTGGGGATGGGGCTCCGCAGTCTGCATCTCAACTAACTCCTGCTGGTGACCGGAGGCACGTCCCAGACGGAGAAGCTTGACCCAAGAGAACCTTGACCCAAGAGAACCTTGACCCAAGAGAACGGGTTCGCGTCGCGTCGGTCATAGAGAGGATGACAGCTGGATGCTGCAGAATGTTTTCTTGTTGAGCCTTCCCTTGCAGAGCATCACAACCAACTCTAGCTGGCCACCAGAGGGCGAGATTGGCACAGGCCTCACTGGCACAAGAAGGTGCCCTTGTGTTGGGACCATGCTGAACCTCTCCCATTCTGCCCAAGGACGCATGGCTCTCTTCCTCGCAGCACACACGACCTCGCAGCACGTTGCTGCTGCTCTTCTCTGCCAAACTGATTTGCCAGCTGTGGCACCCCAAAATCTATCGTGGAAAAAGAGATTTAAAAAACCAAGTAAATTAGAATATTCTTATATCTCAGAGCATGCGATAAGTTAAAAAAACAACACTTGTGTTGTCAGTGCTGTATGTGTTTTGATGAGAGACTTTTCATTTATGAAATGGGAGTCCCTCTGGGGAAATCCGTGAAAAAAGGCAATATAGCATCTTTGAATTCGGACTTGCCAGTAATGCACAGCATCCCAGTGATGAGTCCAGCAATTCTCGTCCGCAGGGAAGCGTGCAAGCCTTCTTCTTCCACTAAAACCTAATGCTTTTATGTTGCAGGGTTGTTTTTATTCTTCTCTCCCCGAGCTTAGAGTTTTAGGTCATTAGGTGTGTGTATGGTAGAATCTCAGTCTCTTTATTTTCAATTTTCTTGTAACCTTTGTTTTGCTGTTATTTCATTTTATTCTGATAAGTTGCTTGTATATTAGTTTCACAATTATGGCCTAGTTTAGTAATGTCATTTAAGCTAGATTTTTATATAAGGCAAAAGTAAATTTCAGGGTTTTCACAAGGTTGCTTTATAATTTAGTGATGGAATCTATAGTTATCTATAGTTGGGCTGTAGTTTAACCAATCTGTAGTCAATCAATCTGCAGTTATTAACAATGAGAATAATAGTTGTTTACATTTACTTAACAATTGGCACAGTACTGCCTCCAATATCATTGCACTTAGTCCTCATGATAACCATGGGAGGGAGGTATTGTCCCTTTTTCCAGTTGAGGCTATGAAGGCTATTAAGCACGAGGGATTTGCAATTGGTCATTTAGTTAATAGTGACAGAATCATAACCTGTGCCCAGAGGTTCTGATTTTAAACTTTTATATTCTTTCTGTGAAACCTTACTATCTTCATGCATACTTTCTGCTTGATTTAATGTCTCATAGATAAAGATTCACTTATTATTAGCCATACAAATATTATGTCCAGGAAAGGTAAGAATCTCATTTTATTTACATAAAGAGCATGAACGTGAGGACTCTGCTATGAATTCATATGCATTTTTAGTCTTCCACTTCTGTGTTCAACTCTACATCGTCTCCTCTCTGTTCAAACCTCCAGGACTTCTGTACTTGCTCCCCTGTTCATGTTTTCGATTGACCTTGAGAAAAGAGACTCAGTAGTCTCAACCGGAAGAACACTTCCATACACCTCTGCCCCCCTCCTCTCCTCTACCTTCACCTTGGCCTTTTACTCTGCTCTGCTCTTCTTGTTATGGGTGGACTGCTCGCACTCTAACTCAGGAGCACGACTCAGCAATGATCTCCTCTGTCTCCTGCATCCTCAGCGCCTCTCTTTTAACTGGGTCGTTCACCAGCATTAAACAGAACATAATCTTTTCCTTCATTGAAAAAAGGCTGTCTCAACCCCATGTTCATCTCATCAACTCACTTGTCTTCTCTGGAAAAGCGATCTCCCAATCCCTTTCCTCTCATTCTCTTTCAAACCCACTCCCATTTGACTTGCACTGATCCCGTGCCACCAGAACTGTTCCTCTTAGGGCACAAGACCTGTTTATTGTCAAGGATGACTCCAAGGGTTTGGGCCTGAGAAACTGAAAGGAAGGAATTTCATTAAAAAAGCAGCATGATATTTTTTTAAAGATTATGTTTTCATTGATTTTTTTAGAGAGAGAAGAAGGGAGAGGGATAGAGAAATGTCGATGAGATGAGAGAGAATTATCATCGTTCAGCTGCTTCCTGCAAGCCCCCTACTGGGGATAGAGTGCCGCCCTGGCATGTGCCCTGACCGGGAAATCGAACCCATGACCTCTTGGTTCCTGGGTCTAAGCTCAACTGCTGAGCCATACCGGCTGGGCAGCGTGATATATTTGTAAAAAAAATTTCTTTAAAATTTTTATTTGAAAATACATCTCTTAACTAATTTCTTTTGGGAAAAGAAAAAGAAATAGCACCAAGAGTTGTAGTTCATAATAATGGTCTCTAGACTAAAGAAAAGCAGAGCCTGGCCAGTGTGGCGCGGTTGGTTGGAGTGTCATCTCCTACACCGAAAGGTGGCGGGATCGATTCCCTCAGGACACATACCCAAGTTTCGGGTTCAGTCCCTGGGCATGTGCAGGAGGCAGCCAATCAGCGTTTCTCACTGAAGGCGATGCTCTTCTGTCCCTCCAGCTTTCTCGAAAAATCAATTTAAAAAAAGAAAGAAAGAAAAGCAAAGCAGATATTTCTTAAAAGAGGTTAATTGGTCAGGCTCTTTCTGCAGCTGAGAAATTCTGCATTGCACAGGGTAAAGATATCAAAGATACAAACTACCTACCTGTGAACGACCATCCTAACCCAGCTATCTTCGATGTCTTCCCCACCCTTTTCCTTCACCTAAAAGCTTCTGCTCTACTTCGGCACAGATTCCACCTGGGCTGGAGAACGTTTGTTTCTTACAAGCACGTTTCTGACTCTGGCAGTGGTGCAGACCTCTTTACACTGGCATGGCAGGGATCGCAGAAGCCCCCCCCCCTCCCCCGCACAGGCCCTCACCACCCTATTGTTTGTGTCCATGGGTAATGCATAAATGCATCCAATTCTTTGGATGATCTCCTCCCACCCAGCCACCCTCCCCCACCTTCCCTCTGAGATTCCACAGTCTGTTCCGTGCTTCTATGTCTCTGGATCTATTTTGTTCATTAGATTCCACATATGAGTGAGATCATGTGATACTTGTCTTTCTCTGACTGGCTGATTTCACTCAGCATAGCACTCAGTTAAAACATAGTAAAATTAGGGCCAGAGCATGATATTCATGCATGGGTAGGGTCCCTAGCGGCTGCCAGTTGCCGCCAGACCCTCCCTTCCCTGGCTGCTGGCTGCCAGCTGGGTCCTCCCTTTGCTCCGTGCCGCCCCCTGGTGGTCAGCGCACGTCATAGCAAGCGATTGAACTCTCGGTTGGTTGAACTCCTGAGGGTGCACTTTTATATATATCCTCCTATATATATAAAAGCCTAATATGCTAAGTGTCTGGTCATCCCATGACCGGTTGACTGTTCAACCAATCAAAGTGGAATATACTAATGTTATGCTAAGTCCGCTCAGCTGCTTGCTATGATGTACACTGACCACCACCAGTAGGTTAGCTTGCTGCTGGGGACCGGCCTATTGTGACTGGGTGAGATGGGGCTGGACATGCCCCGGAGCCCTCTTGTGGTTCCCCCCCCCTGCCCCGTCATGCACCAGTGGGGTCCCTCAGCCTGGCCTGCACCCTCTTGCAATCCGGGACCCCTCGGGGGATTTCGGAGAGCCAGTTTTGGCAGAATCCTGCAGGCCACTCCCCTCAGGAGGGTGCGATGCAGGGCACTTCTTGGGGGATGTCAGAGAGCTGGTTTTGGCCCAATCCTGCAGGCCACTCCCCTCAGGAGGGTGCCAGATGCAGGGCTCATGGCTGGTGAGCACCGCTACGGTGGCGTTAGCCTCTCCCAATCGGGCCTGATTAGTCATGAGCCCATGGCAGGTGCAGTGGGGCCAGGACGAACGGGAGCGGGAGGTAGGAGCTACAGGCGGCGTTGGACTGCGGGTTTTGGCCCGATCCCCACAGGCCACCCCGAGGGACCCCACCTGTGCAGAATTCATGCACTGGGCCTCTGGTAGGTAATATGACCATTCAGTTCGCCAGAGAAAACAGCGGGGTGGCAAATAAACACCTGGAAAGACACTCAGCATCTTTATCTACTAGAGGATGAGGCCAGCTCTGCTTCAGTAGAACAGAATGTGGAAGAGGAAGCCCTGAGCTTCCAGGTGCTGCTGGCCTCCCTGCCTCCCTCAGGGCCAGGAGCGTGGTGGTGCCGGGGCTTTTCGTGGGGCTGTTGTCCGTGGCCCTGGCCCTGGGGGTCGGTTTGAATTGCAGAGAGCACACCAGTGGTGCTGCATGATGTTTATTGAAGCTGATGCTGACCTGACAGCTGACAGGACAGAAAGGCTTCGGCTGCAGTCAGGAAGCCCCCCTCTGGGCGTGCTCACCAAGAGGGGCTGTGCGCATGAGTCACAGTTCTCTTCCGTCGGGTTTCCTTCCATTGGGTCTTTACATTTTGGACTGATTTTTACCTGCTTTAAGTTAATGCTGCGACACAAACTCCTGGTGAGATAGTGGTTGGATTTGTTTGTCATGTTTTATTCGTCACATGGTGGTCTTCTTCGTGCCGGTTGCAGGTGCTCCATCTCCTAGAGCAGCAGTGCTGGCCAACGGCGACCACGGGACGCAAGGGAACGACACTGCAGGTAAGGGATCCCGGATTCCCCTCTCACAGTGCACACCTGGGTCAGCTCCTTGCGGAGGGTGATAATGGAAGCAGATGGGTCATTCTGTGATAAGGGTATTGTTGTTCTTGTTGGGTGTGTTTAAACCTAGGGCAGCGGTCCTCAACCTGTGGGTTGCGACCCCTTTGGCGGTCGAACGACCCTTTCACAGGGGTCGCCTAAGACCATCCTGCATATCAGATATTTACATTATGATTCATAACAGTAGCAACATTACAGCTATGAAGTAGCAACGATAATAATTTTATGGCTGGGTCACAACATGGGGAACTGTATTTAAAGGGCCAGAAGGTTGAGAACCACTGACCTAGGGCATTTGCCCCCTAACATCTCCAGCAGTGGAAAGGGAAGAGTGAATTTCCTTTGATATTCTTTGAATATTTGGTGTAGTTGTACCAAACAAGAACTGATGGACCTTAAAAATATGCTGTTAGAGGCAGAATAGTCGTCATGGAGATAAGGCCTCCGGTCCCGCCAGCTCTGCAGGCAGGTCTCTCCCCTGAACACACTGCACTCAGAGTGCTCCCATGGCTCCGCATAGGGAACCTGTGAGCTGAGGATTAAAGTTCTTTTCTTCTCTCCTTTGCCCTCAGTCTGTTTTTTCTTTATTTTCCTCTTAACTGTTCATTTTGAAATCTGTCTCTGACTCTAACTCCTAGCCTGTGACTAGGGCTTTGATGTTCTGTCAGCTAGCACTGAGTGCCTGTGGGTCCACCTCACACCCAGCACCACCCCTGCCCCAGTGTATTTGCAGTGAGCGAAGTTTTGAAAGCAGCGGCCCACGCCGCAGGGTTACATGTCTGTTCCCGAGGGAGCTGGTAGGAAGTGGTGCTGGATTGGGATGCTGACCGCACTTCGCTTGCAGTTGTGATCAGGCTGGCACTGTTGGCCCAGACAGTCTTCTCTGTCACCGACAATGTGCCCTCGCGACGGGGCGGACGTTGGGTTCACATGTCCGTGTGGACAGAAACGAGCGTGGCCTGGCCTAGTTCTCCTCTTGGACGCAGACCTCAGCCTCGAGAGCCTTCCCTTCCGGCACTGCCGGGCTCAGTGCTGGAGCTCCCAGGCGCCTTGGCCGGCCACCGCAGCTCCTCCAGGATGTAATTGTCACTCTGTGGCCTTTCGAACTGTGGCATCTGTCTCTGTTCCTCAGACTTACTGATGCCTCGGTTCTGTTTGTTGTGATTGTTAGTTTTATCCAGTGACTTCGCATCCTTACTAGCAACTCATGAATTAGAGCTCTCCACGTGAAAAGCAAGAAGCAACCTGAAGTGCCACCGAAGTTTTGTGAAATGAAATTTTCGTATGTCTTTGATAATCGTTGTTATATGTGGTTCTGGCAGTTTCTGTGCCGGCTTTGAAAACAGTCATCTGTATCATTTGGTTTTAAGAAAACATTTGTGATTCAAGAAGAAGCTTGAGCATGAACTTTAAACACGAGCAGATGTAACGGTTCTTAACCAGGAGACAGCGTGAGGGGATTGATTGATGAGCTAGTGAAAGGGCGATGCCGTTTCCTCCAGGAAGGGAACCGCCGTCACAGCTGGAGCGGTTTCTTCTCCAGCAGGAGGCCAGGTCTGAGCGCACTCTATGTAGCAATCGCTTCCCAGGGCCAGTCTCACTAGGGCAGGAAACAAGGACGGGAAACCATACAGCTAGGCCTTACGGTCCCAAGACTTGCTTCCCCGGTTGCAAACCAGAACCCGCTGGCTGTGCGCTCCCAGGGGGATGAAGAGAGCAGGTCCTCTTTCCCCCCGGGGAGGACAGTCGCACCCTGGAAGGGGTTTGTGTCGAACTGGACACTGGACCGCACGAGTGTCCATGCTCCTATGTTCCACGTTCCATGTGGTTCTGGCAGTTTGGTTGGGGTGGGAAGGAGTGGGGGAAGGAGGGTGCATGTTTCTGGAGCATGCGTGACTTCACTCTCGTTTGGCCATCGCTAACGGCGCCACTTGGAAAACTCCCATTTCTGTTTCCTTCAGAACGTGACCTCCCGGCCTCAGAGCAGCGCAGCCCCCTGGTAGCATAGGAAGGGTTAATGCGCCTCCTGCTGTGTTGAACTTGCTGTTGACTAATGACCTGTGCTTTTCTGCCCCTTCCTCTCCTTCCTCCTCCTCCCTCCTCTCTGTTTCTCCTCCTAGAAGCCTAGTGTCTCTGAGCACGGGGGCTGCGGACCACCCGACCAGTGGCCTTTCCTAGCACCGCACACTCCTAACCTTCAGAATCCGCAGAGCTTTGCTTCCCCGGGACGCGTAGAGGAGAAGCCGAGGGTGGTTCTGCGGGGCTTTCTGCTGATGCTGAGCAGCCACCTGCCTCCTTGTCCTCTGAGGGCTCGCGGGAGCCCTGCCCTGTGAACACCAAGTACAAATGGAGTCTCATTCTGGTCTCTTTATTTATAAGGGTCACCTGATGTTTCTCATTTCTGGTTCTCTTTTTCAATTCATTTTATCATTTAATTCGCTCTCACATTTTTCTTTTCTTTAAACATTTTTAGTTGGCGTTTTCATTGGGTTTTCAGATCTCCCACCCAAATCAGGATATGGTAACACGGAAAAGAACGTGAGCTTTCGAAAGGGCGTGAGTCCACCAGACGGCAGGGACCCTCCTCCCCTTGCTCTCTCCCTCCGTGAGCTGACTTAGGGAAGGGGATTCGCTTAGGCACCGCATTTCTCTCTCCCTTACTAAGAGCTGAGTGATGCTGCTACTTAATGTAGAGGTTTCTAACTTAGAGGAGCTCTCATGAAACTTTGAAAAGTATTTCCTCAAATTAAAATCGTCCTTTGTTAGTTGCAAGTTGGGCCAAAATAGTTTCTATTTGAAATGATCTATTTGTCTAGGTTTAGATTCTCCTGAAAATTTAACAATCTTATTATTGTGTGTGGAATTTTATAAGCAAAATTACTTTCTTCACATGATCATGAACTGTGAGAAGTTAAAGAAATGGAATCCAGTATTGTTAGAATACTGAGCTGTTGATACAGGAAGAAAATAACTTCTCCTGGAACAACACAAGATGAAACTAAATGGGGACACATTGAAGGCCAGCAGTTGATCAGGTCTCGTGGAGGGACTGTCTGCTTGGACTCAGTCTCCGTTTGGGATTAGTATCCTTTGCTCTCGGCAGGTGCCAGGGCTTGGGGCCAGGCAAAGCCCCGGATGTCAGGTCCTTCACGAACGTTAGCATCTATGTTCACACGTTCTGAGGATTGTCTGATGGGACTTTCTTATTTCCGTTTCTCGTTTTCCCAGACTGATAGCTAACAATTCTGGAAGCATTTGGGATAAGTACGATGGAACCTTTCAAATGACAAGCTGTGATTGGATCTTTACAAATAGAATATAAAACATGGGCCATGTTTTGAAATCTTAGAGGAATTCTGGTTTAAGATCTGGAATGCGAAATACTTTTAAGATTATTTTTTTGTTAATCCTTACCTGATGATATTTTTTCCAGTTTTCTAGAGAGAGTGGGAGGGAGGGAGGATGGAGAGAGAAATAGAGAAACCTTGATGTGAGATAGATACTTCTATTGGTTATATCCTGTGCGCACTCTTAACTGGGGCTGGCGAAGTATGTGCCCTTGACCAGGAATCGAACCCGCGACCCTTTGGTCTGCAGGCGGATGCTCTAACCACTGAGAAACCCGGCTAGGGCACTTTTTAAATTTTTTTTATCCTCTTACAGACTGTGCATGTTTTTATAATCACTAAGCTACTGATTATTTCAGATTAAAATAAATGTCACTGTGCTCTGAGGAAGAGTTTGAGGTGTGCATAGTTTAGATCTTCTTATCCAGAACTGCCTCTGGAGCGGTGAAGCCAGAATATTCTGAAAGTTTACCTGAGCCCCTACAGTGACTCCTGGTGGTTTCTCTGCCAAGAGTTCCTTCCGTGGGTTCTGGTGAGAAGACGCGTGAGGGAAGCACGTTTAAAGGGAGGAGCTTATTTTTACTTCTAAGGGTTTGATCACACATGGAAGCCGTGACCATGGGAACCACACCATGAAATAAAACACAGCTCTTTCACTTTGATGTGTGGCCATTTGTTTCCTGGTGGAGATTTTTGGTGAGAGAACTTTTTACAACTGGTAGTGCTAACTTTTTAAAAGTGTGTTTGGCATCTGTCACTTCCAACCAGTCCCTGCAGTTGATGTGAATGACAGGCGGGTGGAGAAGCCTGGTGAGCCCTGCTGTGGCAGTGGTCAGGGTGCACGCACTCCATTGTTGCCCTGATTCTACTTTTATTTCCATCTTGTTTTGTGTTTGTTTTGTTTGAAGTTTATTTTTATCTAAGAGTGTTTTTTTAATTTATGAAATTGAAAATTTCTACTAACAGCCTGCTAAAATTTATATATTGTTAGCTCACTCTATTGCACTTGGATGTTTCATTTTGAAAGAAATAAATTTTGTTTTACATACAGCTTTATATGAAGTAGCCAGTCCTGCCATGAAATGCTGTGTTGCCATGATGGTTATACCTGAGTGGCCCAATATTTCACTGCTGAGATGACCAGGCTGGTTAGGATTGCTCTGTTGAAATGTGTTGTTTCTTATATGT